ACTCCAATTTCATTGGAGCTATCTCAATAGAGACTGCTGCTCTGAGTGAAGAATATTTTCTCTCATAAAATAGAGCAAGATTTGTAATTTCATTTTCCTTCCAGCCATTGATTTTATACATGGGAAAAAAATGTGGATTCTGTTTGCTGTTGCATTAATTATCATGTAAATTGTTTTATTTGCCTCCTTTTAAATTTCATCATTTCAGTTTTTTTTCTGTAAAAATATAATTGAATTTAAAAACACAGAGCTCTATTGAATAGATATCTTTCAACAAATAGCTGCAATTAAAAGCTCTGAGATATTCATTTTCTATAACAAAATGCAGTACACTAAAAACTCATTTTTCATTTTATTATAATTTTAGCTGGTAGTATCTAAACACAATTTATTATATTCCTTTGGGAAAATCTTTAAATTCTTTGCCTCTATTTATGTTATAATGGGGCAAATATTAAGCCCAAACTAAAAGTATAAGGAAAATAATTTCTGTTAAAATAAACTTTCAAAATTTATCATTTAAAACTAGCCAAATGTAGGTAACAGACTGCCAAGTATAACAATAGTGTATCTTTAAAAATATTATCTCTCAGAAATTGTAATATTAGTGCTTAGGTAAATTAAAAATGATTTTATTTACATTGAACTTGTAAATGGTTCTTATGTAATGTGAATGCTCATTCACTTACTTAATAAACTTTGTATATGTGTATTTTTACTAGATTTTCAGGTTTACTCAACTTTGAAATATAAACATAAGCAAAGTTATTACTGGCTGAAAAGATGTGTGCAATGTAGATAATTGTGTTCATGTTCATGAAAAGAGAAAAGAAAATTATACTTGCAGATGCCACAGATTTTTAAATACAGATGCTTTAAACATTAAAAATGAAGTCACTGGAGTATGTTCAAGATATTGAGGAGAAAGTGAAGTTGTTCTGGAAACTTTCTAAAATACACCATGCTTAAGAATTACTTAAGAACTCAAAATAATAGAATTTCCATGTATTTAAATGAAAAAGAGACTAACAAGAAATATCAAGATTTGGCTTTTAAATACTAAATTCAAAATCAGTGGTTGCACTGATTGATTTATCCATATGTAAGATGACCCTTGTTAAATAGTTAAATAGTTCCCCCTCTTTTTATTTGAAAAAGTTGTCCATTACACATTTGTTTTTCTCTAAGATATAACAATGTAACATGCAACTTTTAAAGTGCTAATCATCTTTCTCCTTGTGCCCCCTCTTGATTTGAAACTTTACTTAAGATTCTGTTTTGCTCATACCAACTGGCTGGCAACAGTCCCTCAATTGATTTTAGAACTATTCAAGCAATCTGGGGATGGGAGGAAAATTCACTCCTATGTGCCCTGCACAATATTTAGATGCCCATATTCCCAATGGGATTAAAGTGTATAGTATTGCGTATGAATGAAGGATGAGGGCAAGATTTTCACTGACTCCGAAATTGAAAGAAAGAAACGCTACTGTAGTTATAGAAAATCGCTCTGGGAAAGATGGCCAGAAAGTCAGAGACATGAAAAATAAAACCCAAATTAGTCACAGCACCTAACGGTGATGCTCCGCCTGGTCCATTTGTCGGGGGCAGCTTCCAAGATGACAAAGTTAGGACATTTTCCATCAAATTAATGGTCCTTTATAGAATTTATCTTCTGGGCTGAAAAAAAAGTTGACTTCCTTTCTCTCTTCCATGTACACCTAGGTGCTTTTCCACTCATTTAGAATCTTATTTCGTAACATTGTTTCAGGGTATAATAATCTCTGAGTACCAAGAAGAAGGGCAAGTCAAAATATTGGTATTCTTGTTGAAAAATGAATCACTCTAATTACTATATATCAAATCTATTTTCAAGACAGGTATTTCCAAATCTTGTTCTGAATAAAACCAGGGAATATATAATGAGAGTGTCAGATAAAAGACCATGAAAAATAATTCTCAATAATCACTGTGCTATCTTTAGCAAACAATTGAATGGAAGTACTGTAGCAGTGCTCCTCGATTCATATGGATTTATTTCTAAACATGAGTTTTAGTACACACCTCTCTTGAACCCTGTTTTATTTTAGCCAATAAAGTCTAACCTTAGTTTTATGAAATAAAATTTGTTAAAGCCCTCTCCACCTGGTTATAAAATAGACTTCCCGATAAATTTTGTAACTTTTGATACTAAACGAATGTATAAATTTTATAGTTTTTTTATTAGTCATATATTGATATTAGTTTTCATGACATCTAAATTCAGATTTAAAAAACAACAGCAATAACAACAGAGTAAAACTTCCCCAAGGGGTTTCCAAGACCCTAATCTTTACAGAAGCAGACAATTTTTCTCCCCTAGAGTGGCTGGTGAATTTTACCCATCAACCTTTTGGATATCAAATGAGCACTTAACACTGCAACACCAGGGCTCCTTTTAGAACTTCAAGGGACTTTTATTATATAAGTATATAAACATATAATTTTGGACTTCCTTTGGATTTCCAAAAGTAAGCCCTGGATTGACGTAACCTGAAGTTGTTAACACAGTTTGGTGCATTTGCTGACACTTCACTTTCCTCCACACTCTCCCTCAGGGAAGCAAGGTAGCCCAGCTGTCCTAATCAAGAAGCAGAGGTATGAAGAAGGCAGCATTAAGACTATAGTCATAGGAAGATAATTCCTGAAAGGGTGCATTTAACCACTGAAGATATTTTCCAAATGCTACCCATGATTTGCAAGCCATATAACCCAACAGACAATCACACCTACCCCATCAAGCCAAACCACCATGCATAATTCGGTAGAGGGAATTCTCCAAGTCAGACTCCAGGGAACGTGCTACTTTGTTCTAAGACTAAGGCCAGATGGAAGCATATGTCACTTGTAGTTGAGCCATCACTATGTAAGTGATCCCCAGAGGCCAAGGTTTTAAAATGTTTAATTTAGTTAGTGTAGCAGTAAGTTCAGTGAAGCCAGAAGAAATAATACAAACTGACCTTTTTGAAAAATGTGGCTCATTAACTTCAGACAGTAAGCCCTCACATGTACTGAAAGAATGAAAATGTGTGGTCCGTCATAAATATAGTTTTTTAAAGGCAAACAAATTAATTTAGTATGTTAAATTAGATTAAAAGGATACTAATAACAGTTAAATAATCAAGCGGCCATAGCTTTGGTAATAAAACTCTCAGAATTAATCACATGCTATACTACAGCTTTTTAAAATATTAGTATTGACCCTTCAATTTGATGTAGCTGTGAACAATTCTAAAACACGCAGGGCAATTTTATATTTACTGGATATAATCTTTTTTCTTTTAAAACAGGTTTCCTCATTGGTGGCATTTACCTTTTACAAATTCAGACCACAAAAGATTCGGAGATCTAAATCATTACATGCATCAGATATTAAATGGATGGGATGAAGTTGCAAACGTATGTTATGATACACATTTTACATCTTTATACAAAATGTCCACTGTTTCATGTACTATTACTGGAAATATTCTTAAATATTTTAATGTAATATTCTTCTGATCTTACATTCAAAAAAACATGTGTGTGTGTGTGTGTGTGTGTGTGTGTGTGTGTGTGTGTGTGTGTAAAATGGGTCAAATTCCTGAGCAAGGAACTATGGAGCAAACTAAAAATCTTGACCTCAAATAAGCTCAATGAAGTGATATGTGGTGAGTGGACTACCAGTGGTACAAAGTGCCCTAGAGTTTCAGAGGATAGAGAAGTACTTCCAGCTGTGATGATAAAAGGATTTCAGAAGAAGCAAGCATCTGAGCTGGGTTCTTAACACTGGATAGGACTTAATAGAGTTGCCTGGGGAGGGTTTCAAGTAGAACACAAGTAAGAGATTGTATTAGTTTCCTATTGCTTCTGTGACAAATTGCCACAATCCAGTGGCTTAATATAGCATAGATTTATTCTCTTGGGTTTCTGGAGGTCAAAAGTCCAAAAGAGGGTTTTATGGAGCAAAGCCAGGTGTTCATGGGGCTAGCTCTTTCTAGAAACTCTAGGGGAAATCTCCTTCCTTGCCTTTTTCCGGCTTCAAGGGATTGCCTGCTTTCCTTGGTTTGTGTCTCTTTCTAGTAGCAATGTCACTGTGACCTCTCTCGGGTTACATCTCTCTCTGACTTTCTTTTATTCTGACCCTTCCGTGTCTTATAAGGACTTTTGTTACTATATAATACAGGTAATCCAGGATAGTCCTTACCTCAGAGTCTTAATTTTATCTGTGAAATCGATTTTGCCAGGTAAGGTAATATATTACACAGATCAGGGGATTACCTCATAGATATCTTTGATGACCCATTATTCTTCCTACCACGGGATCTATGAAAAAGTGCAAGAGTACTATTCTGTTGAGACTCAATATTCTTTTGTGTGTGTGTGTGACAAAGCTGTGCTAAGATAAAGCCAGCAAGAGACTGGAAACTGGTTGTTAAGGGTTAAATCTAGGCCTTAGAGAGTAGTAAGGAAACAGAGGTAGAGAAAAGACGATGTTTCTCACATTCTTAGAGATCCTGACCCTCCTTATTGAACTGAGAGTATGCTGCTTGGTTTTGTTTTTAGTTTCCTGATTGATAAAATATAACACACATACAGAAATTTTTATAAAACAAAATGTATTCAAGAATTTACTATCGAGGAAACACCCATGTAATCCTGCAATAGTTTCAAAACACGTTGAAAATCCTTTGCCATTCTCCCATACAGAGGAGGAGTTTATATCCTTTCCTCTTGAGCCTGAGAATAGTTTGCTTCTCCCTCATCAGAGAGATGAGGGTGGAGATGAACCCCCTGTGACTCCCAAGTTAGATTAGAAAAGAGCATGCAGCTTTCGACCAATATTACTTAGGACACTCACTGAGAGCCTTCATCTGTCATCTGAGAAGTTAAACTACCCTAAATCTTCCAAGTGGAAAAACCCACTTACAAATCAAATCGACACTTTCAAGGAGCAGGAAGTGTGCCAATCTCTAGCCAAAGTCCCAACCCATACCCAGCATCATCCTCCAGTCTGTGAGTTAGAAATGCTCAAGATGACTCCAGCCCCTGGGCTAAATGACTACAATCTTATTAGAAATTGCCAACAAAAACCATCCTAATTAGGCCTGGACAAACCCCAGAACCCTGAGAAAGCATAATCACATGACTGTTGCTGTTTCTAAATAGCAATGCAGTGATTCATTATGCAGTAATAAACTGCTTCCAAGGTCAAGAACTAGCACATATCCAACAAGCCAGAATCAAAAGCAAACAAACAAATCAACCCATTGCCATTGTGTGGACTCCAACTCAAGGTGACCCAAGATAGGGTTTCCTAGCAACCAAAATAAAACAATGGGAAACACAAAAATTCCAAACCCACTGTCAACTAGTAAATTAATTCACTGCAATCCTTTATAGGGTTTCTTATGGTTTAATTCTTCTTCTCTTTTTATTAAAAGATAATTTTATTGGAGACTCTTACAACTCTTGTTACAATCCATACATCGCTTGCATCAGGCATATTTGTACATATATTGCCTTCATTCTTTTCTAGACATCTATTTCCTATTGAGCCCTTGGTATCAGCTCCCCACCCCATAACCCATTAAGAGATTATAAATTGTTATTATTTTCATATCTCACACCGACCACTGTCTCCCTTCCCCCATGTTTTCTGTTGCTCTTCCCCCTGCAGAGGGTGTATGGTTATGTGTCAATTATTGCGATAGGTTCCCTCTTTCTCCCTTCCTCTCCCCCTTTCCCCCTACCCTTCTAGTATCGCTATTCCCACTCCTGTTCCTGGATTCCATGTGTCATGAGCTCCCATCTCTTATCTATACCTGTGTACATGTTCCGGTCTAGTCTGAATTGAGAAACAGCACTGGGGTCATGGAAGTGGGGGGTGAGGAAGCCTCAAGGAACCAGAGGAATATAGTGTGTTTCATCGATGCTTTACTGCACCCTGGTTGAATCTTCCCTTCCCCGTGTCCCCTCTGTGGGTGAATTATTCCATTGTCTCCAGATGGGCTTTGGATCTCTGCTCCAAACTCCCTAGTTCTCAACAATATGTTTCTGTTTGTTTGTTATGTGTTTTCTGACGCCTATTACCCGGTCCTGATGACTCCTCATGATCGCACCAGAGGTGTGCTTCCTCCATGTGGGCTTGTTGCTTCTCTGCGGAATGAGGTCATGTGTAACTTCAAGCATTTAAGACACCAGGTGCTATATCTTTTAATAGCGGGGCACCATCTACCTTCTTCACCACATTTGCTCATGCACCCATTTATGATTCTGGAGCGTGAACATCTCAGACTGCCAATTTGTTAGAACAAAGTGTTCTGGTATTGAGGGAGGGTATGAGCAACTATCTGAAATCCATCCACTAACTCAGCATATTGCCATATAAATATATATACATAGGCCAATACCTCTATTTTTGTGGATTAATGTATTTACACATGTACACCACTATGTTTATACCTCTATCCATTGCTTCACTTCCTAGGTCCTTCCTCTGTTTCCTTTCACCTTCCTCCTGTTCCACCATCACTTTCCCCTTATTTCCACCTCTTAGTACCTCCTCTTAGCTAGTTTGCTGTTGCTCCAACACCCTGCACCCCCGCCCCTGATCCTTATCTCCTCTTTGTTCTTGACTCTAATACCCTAGTTGTTCCCCTGTCTATGGTGCTGCCTGCTCACTGTCCCCTTCCCCCAAGTCTCCGCGGGACTGTTGGTCCCACTGCTTTCTCCTCGGTTACACTTCCCATGCCTATCTTATATAGGTAGGCACACCAACTATGACATAGCCCAAAAGAAAAGGAGAAGAAACCAAAAAGGGAAAGGGAGAAAAGAAAAAACAGAAAGAGAAGAAATATACAAAAACCCCAGATCTGTTTGCTGGCCTTCATGATTGTCCAGGAGCTGCCCATCCCAGCCTGGAGTCCCCTTTTGGGGGCTCCTCAGGGGCTTCGTAGCTTTGCTTTGCTCCAGCTACTGGTTTGGTATGTTCCCTTCTTGACTTGCCCCACCATGGGGGGTTCAGACCGCACTACTTCCCCACTGTGTGACCCCAGAAATGTCCTGTCGCAGTCTGCTCCAGTAAGGGGACAACATGACACGAGCTGTTGTTGGCCACCCAATCCCCTCTGAATCCCATTAGCTCCCCGCAGGGACATCAGCCTCCAGGCCTGGTGTGCCAGTGTGGAGTGCAGTCCAGCTCTCTCTTTCTCTTCTTTCCTGGTCTGTTTCCATGTGGGTGTGGCATGCTGACCCCTCTCCCCAAGGTTTAGTGTTATTCTGTGTCACACTTATTTTTAGGGAGGGGGCCAGTTTGGCTCTGGTTGGGGCCAGCCCTGTAGCTCTCTCTTTTCATGCATTCTTCCACGTGGTCACATTGTCCTCATGGCTTGGTGCACTGTGGTAGGGTCTGCATGCCCACTCCCGATTCTGTGGAGACACGACCAGTACTCTCCCTGTGGATGGGTTAGTGCTCTGCTCTGTCCGTCATCATCTCAATTTCTCCTGCCCCCTTTCTCACTCCCCCTTCCACCCTTTCCCCTTTTTGTGTTGGACCAACATGTACCTCCTTGGGTTTGGTCTAACCACCTCCTGACTCCCTGTACCTCAACCCAAATGTTGTGCTATTGGTTGATTCTCTTCTATACCCACCATGCTGATTACACTTACCTCAGGGGACTCATGCTGCACTCCTTTTGTGATTGGCTGACTTCACTTAGCATAATTTCCTCCAACTCTTCCCATGAAAAGACATGTTTCATGTGCTCATCTGTGCTTTTTAGTGATACATAGTACTCCATTGTGTGTATGTGCCAGAGTGTACTGATCCACACGTCTACTGATGGAAATTATGGTTGTTTCCAACTCTTGGCGATTGTGAATTGCGTCACAATAAACATTGGAGCACATACAACTGGTTGTGTTTTATTTCGGACCTCTTCTGGGTATATGCCCAGTAGAGGGATAGCTGGGTCATAAGGTAGAACAATTCCTTTTTTTTTTTTAAGTATTGACAGATCGCTTTCCATAGTGGCTATACATACCTACAAGACCACCAGCAACATAGGAGAGTTCCTATGTTGCCACATCCCCTCCAACATATATTGCTCTCTGATTTTGGCTAGCCTCAAAAGTGTTAGATGGTATCTCATGGTTGTTTGATTTGCATTTCTCTGACATCTAATGATCGGGAGCATTTTCTCAAATGTTTGTTGGCTATACAGGTCTCTTCCCTAGTGAAACTTATTTTCAATTCTTTTTCCAACATCTTCAAGGGGTTAACTGTTACCTTTGATGTCCTTCCATTGTCTTATTTTAGCTAGGAACTCCAGTACGATATTGAATAGAAGTGGGAATAAGAGACATCCTTGTCTGGTCCCCTTTTCCAGTGGGATTAATTTTGTCTTTTCTCCATTGAC